AGCCGTTACTGCCTGTAGTTCATCTTGTTTCAGGAGCACACTTACCCCATATACTGCTGCAAGATTGTAGGCGTTGAAAGTGCCGATAAGCTTAGTCCATAGTTCATGCTTGCCCAGGTTCAGGAGCATGCCGTTGAACTGGTGTTCCAGGATCTTCGCTTTAAAATCGGCATCGGTACGCAGGCCAAAGGTGTACACCTTGCCTTTGGTGTGGTGCAGCATAGTCTTACCATGTCGATCATCAGCATTGATCAAAGCAAAAGCAGATGAAGGCAGTTCGTCAAAAAGGCGTTTTTTGGCGAGGATGTAATCGTCAAAAGTCTTGTGATAATCCAGGTGATCACGGGAAATATTAGTGAATACTGCCCCTTCAAAATGAAGGCCGGCCGTTCTGCGTTGTTCAATACCGTGGCTGCTGGCTTCCATGAAGCAATAGCGGCAACCGGCATCCACCATTTTTCGCAGATGGGCATTCAGACTTACGGGGTCAGGAGTAGTGTGTGTGGCGGGTAATACCTCGCGACCAATCTTTATGGATACAGTAGAAAGTAAACCTGTTTTAAGTCCCAGATTGGTAAAAAGCTGATGCAGGAGAGTGGCAGTAGTCGTTTTCCCGTTGGTTCCGGTTATAGCTACCAGTTTTAGTTGCTCAGAAGGATTGTCGTAAAAGTTGGAAGCAATCACGCCCATTGCAAGATGACTATCCTTTACCTTGATGTAGGTCACCTTTTCCTTCAGATTTTCAGGTAGTTGTTCGCAAACTATAGAGCGGGCACCTTTCTCAATGGCCTGATCAATGAATTGATGCCCATCAGCCACGGTACCGGTAATAGCTACAAAGAGGCTTTCCTTACTTACTTTACGTGAATCCAGGCTTACTGCAGATACCGCCAGGTTAGTGTTGCCAATAGTGTCAACAATAGGTGTTTTATAGAGTATGTCTTTTAGAAGTTTCATCGCTGCCACTAGCCCATTTTTAATTCAATTACACGCTCGGTGGATACTTTGCTTCCGGCCGGGGGGTATTGCCATTGTATTTTTCCCACGCCTTCCATTTTCACCTTATAACCCAGGTTTTCCAGGGCCGGAATAACTTCGGAACCATCCATGCCGGTGAGATCCGGAAGTGATTTAATACTATTCAAATCAGTCAATTGTGTTTTACGGTAGGCGGGTGTAGCCGGGCTCTCGTCTTGTTTTTCAGGGCTCCAATTCTGAGGGGTGTCCAGGTAAATGTTTTCCGCAATGGCTTTAAACACAGGGGCGGCCACGGTAGAACCGTAGTACCCGCGGTGGTAATTCGGTTTGTTGATCACCACAATACAGGAATACTTAGGATTGTCGGCCGGGAAATAACCTGCAAAGCTGGCCTGGTAATCGTAGGTATATTGTTTCCAGTAATTCAGTTGGCAGGTGCCGGTTTTACCGGCCATACTTACCAGGTCGCTCTGAATATTAGTAGCGGTTCCGTTCTTTACCACACCCTCCAGCATATCCTGCAGTTTTACTAAAGTTTCTTTAGAGCAAATAGCTGGATTGATCACAGTAACAGGGTTGTCTTCTACGGTACGCCCGTGTTGACGAATTTCTTCTACAAAGCGGGGTTTTACCATTTTACCATCGTTTGCAATGGCATTGTAGAAACTCAATACCTGTAGAGGTGTAAAACTTACCTGGTATCCAAAGGCAATCCAGGGCAGGCTGATCCCGCTCCAGTTAGGGTCACCCGGCTTGGGTATTTCCGGGGTGCCTTCTCCCTTAATAGGTAGATCCAGCTTTTTATGAATACCAATGTTGTACAGGCGGTCAATAAACTTGTTGGGGTTGTGTTGATAGTTGTTGTAAATGAGTTTTACAATGCCCACGTTGCTGGATACTTCAAAAGCACGTTTTACGCTAACCTTTCCGTAGCCACCTTTTCCGTTGCGGTAGTTGCTGTCCTTTATCTTTTTTTCATAAATGGAGAAAATACCGTTCTCGGTATCCACCAAGGTGTTGGTGTCGGCCACTCCGTCTTCAAGGGCTATCATTACAGAAGCCAGCTTAAAAGTAGAACCGGGCTCCGTGTCTTCCCACACCGCATAATTCCGTTTTTCAAAGTAGGTGCCTTTCTCGGTGCGTCCCAGGTTGGCAATAGCGCGAATGGCGCCCGTCTCCACTTCCATAACCACCGCACAACCATGATCGGCTTCAAAGCGCTCCAGGGCTTTCAGTAATTCATGGTGCACCACATCCTGCATACGGGTGTTGATAGTGGTTACCACATCCAGTCCGTCCTGTGGCTCAATTTCGTATTGATCGCTTACCGGTTTCCAGTTGCCATTGCTTACTTTTTGTTTTAGCCTGCGGCCATCGGTTCCGGAAAGAAAAGAACTGAAAGCCCCCTCAATTCCGGTTTGAGCATTGAGGCGATCATACCCGATGGTGCGCTCTGCGATCTTGCCAAGCGGCATTTTGCGGTAATTCTTCTGCTCCTCAATAAGTCCGCCTTTAAAGCGGCCCAGATTAAAAACAGGGAAGTGACGAACGTTTTGCAATTCGGTATAACTGATGTCCTGCGCCAGTTTCACGTAGCGGCTTCCGGTCTTGCGCCTGGAGAGGAGGTAATTCCCCCACTGAGTGGCTGAACGTTCCGGGAATTTTTGAGCCAGAGCCCTGGATAAGGCAGGTAGCTCTTCAAAAAACACTTCTTCATCTACCGTAACCGGGTCCATATAAATATCATACACGGGCATAGATGTGGCCAGCAGTTTTCCGTCAGAGCTGTAAATATTGCCACGGTCCGCCTTAATGTTGATCTCCCGAATTACCTCGCTTTGTGCTTCGCTCCTCAATTCGGGCCCTTCCACATACTGTATCATAAACAGTTTGAACAGCACCAGAATAGCTACAAGGAAGAAGGGCAAAGTAGCCAGGTAGGAACGATTTAATATGGATTTGTTATCGTTCATTCTTCACTTTCTGCTTTTATTTTCATAGGCGGGTGTTCGGACCGCTCCAGACCCATTTCTGAAGCACGTTGCACCACTTTGCTTTCCATGCTTTCCAGCATAAGGCGTGAGCGGGTATCAATAAATTCAGAGTTGAGCTCTTTCATTTCAGAGCGCAGGCGTGCAATCTGGTGTACCTTCTGGTCTGCACTATGGCTGCTGGCTATCATAATAAGAGCCAACAGGCTCAGGTAAAGGATAAAGGGCCAGTTTTTTTCCCAGCCTTTGCTCACCAGAAAGCGCCCTGTGAATACAGAGTTTAAGGGGTTTTTAAAAGCGAATTTTGCTTTTTTACTACTTGCCATCATCTATCTTTTCAGCAGCCCTCAGTTTTGCGCTTCGGGCTCGGGGGTTTTCATTCGTTTCTTCTATATCGGGTACAATTGGTTTGCGGGTAACGGGCTCCAGCGGACGGATCAAGTTTCCATAGAAGTCTTTCTCTGGCGTTCCTTCAAAATTCCCGGTACGGAAGAAATTTTTTACAGGCCGGTCTTCCAGAGAGTGATACGCCATAATGACCAATCGCCCGCCTGGTTTTACTATTTCTGCTGCCTGGCTCAGGAATTCATGAAGAGCTCCCATTTCATCATTCACCTCAATTCGAATAGCCTGAAATACTTTGGCCCAAAACTGCCCGTGTTTATTGCGGGGGGCGTAGCGCTCCAATACCCGCTTCAAATCTTCGGTTGTTTCTATGGGTGATTCGCTTCGTGCATTGGTTATGGCCCGTGCTAAAAAATGCGGTTTTAATAGTTCACCGTAATCCCTGAAAATACGGGTTAGTTCACTTTCAGCATAGGTGTTAATGACCTGTTTGGCGTCCAGCGGACGTGAACGATTCATGCGCATATCCAGTGGGCCTTCAAAGCGCAAACTAAAACCGCGACTGGCCTCGTCAATCTGGTGAGAAGAAATGCCCAGGTCGGCTAAAACACCATCCACCTGGTGTACGCCTTTAAATCGTAAGCTGTTTTTGAGGTGCCGGAAATTGGAGGTGATTAAAGTGAAACGATCATCATTCAGCGCGTTTTTGTGCGCATCCTCGTCCTGATCAAAGCCATATAAATGACCGGAGGTGAGGTTTTTTACAATCTCGCGGCTATGTCCTCCTCCTCCAAACGTGGCATCCACATAGATACCATTGGGTTTGAGTTGCAGCAGATCTATACATTGATGTAAAAGAACGGGTTTATGATATTCCATCGTCAGGGTCGTTAAGGCTACCCATTACATCCTCAGCCAAGGCACCAAAATCAACTTCCGGATCATTGATAGAGGCTTCATAAGCATCTTTATTCCACACCTCGATCATGCCTACGGAAGAGGAAAGCACCAATTCTGATTTAAGGCTGCCGAAGTTCATAAGGTCCTTGGGGATGTTAAGGCGCCCGTTAGCGTCCATCTCCAGCATCTTTACACCGGCTGTAAACATCCGGATGAAGTCATTATTCTTTTTTACAAAGCGATTGAGCTTATTCACCTTGTCCATCATTTTCTCCCATTCGTCCATGGGGTATAGTTCAAGGCACTTTTGGAAGACGCTTCGTTTGATTACAAAACCTTTGTCGAGCACCGGCAATAGCTGCTTTTTTAGCGCAGAGGGTATCATCACCCTGCCCTTAGCATCCATTTTACATTCGTGTACTCCTATCAGGTTCAACATATTAGCTTTTAGCTAGTCTTGATCTCAAAAGTATAGAAAATGACCCACAATTTCCCACCTTGCTACACTTTGTTGATAACTTTCACCACTTTTAGAATAACCCTTAAACTTTAGGTTTCGTATAAAAGTTCATCAATTTCTTTGTGGAAGCGGGTTTTGGGAAAATGGTGGTAGGTAGTAAAAACGGTGGGGGAAAGTGGAGGGAGTTTGAAGCATCCACCGAATTTCTATTCGTTTAAAATGAAAATAGAGCATGTATTATGGTCGCGGAGTGGAGGTTTTATTGAAGTTAAGCTTGTGTTAAGGGGTAAGGAGGTCTTCTGCGGTTGAAATAATACCTTTGCCCTATGAAAATTCAGAAAGCGGAATTCCTGAAAAGTAGCGCAGAACTCAATCAATGTCCGGAAACCGAATGGCCGGAATATGCCTTTATTGGACGCAGTAATGTGGGTAAGAGCAGCCTCATCAATATGTTGATGGATCATAAAGGTTTGGCCAAGACTTCATCACGGCCGGGTAAAACACAATTGATTAATCACTTTACTGTAAACAACCAATGGTACCTGGTGGATTTACCGGGTTATGGTTGGGCCAAGGTGAGTAAAAAAGCTAAAGAAAAATTTCAGCTTTTGATAGTGGACTATATGGAGAAGCGTAAGAATCTGACTAACGTTTTTGTGCTCATTGATTCCCGGCATGAACCTCAGAAAATTGACTTGGAATTTATGGAGTGGTTGGGTGAATTGGGGGTGCCTTTCAGTATGGTGTTTACCAAGATTGATAAGCTGAACGGTAACAAACTGAATGGCAATCTCAAAGATTATCGAAAGAAGATGCTGGAACGTTGGGAAGAAGTGCCGGTAAGTTTTTCGACCTCAGCAGAAACTGGCGCGGGTAAGCTAGAGCTGCTGGGCTATATTGGTGAGATCAATCGTCAGTTGGGTTTAAATTAGAAGCTTCGGTAACCTGACGGATCACCTCCAGTAAATTTTCAGATTTAAAGGGTTTACTTAAATGTGCCTGCATACCGGATTGCAATGATTTTTCTATATCTTCCGGGTATACATTGGCGCTTATGGCAATAATAGGTGTCTTCAATTTCAACTGACTTCGGATAGCCCGGGTTGTGGCATAACCGTCCATATCCGGCATATTGATATCCATAAATATGAGATCAAAGATTTGGTTCTTAAGTATTTCAAGAGCCTTAATGCCGTCTTCGGCAATTTGTACCCTAAAGCCATTATTCTCCAGTACTTTTAAAAGTAGCACTTGGTTAATAGGATTGTCTTCCACCAATAATATACTCAACTTTCCAGTCTCTATTTTTGGTGTATTAACGGTTTCCGAATGGTGGTATGTATCTGCAATTTCTGCCTGTATACTGAAAGTGAAATCACTCCCCTTATTTTTAAACACCACACTCGGGCTAATGACTTTGATGTGGCCGCCCAGGGCTTTGGCAATTTCCATACTAATGCTCAACCCTAAGCCGGTGCCTCCGAATTTTTCTTTAATATCAGCGTTTTCCTGCTTAAAGGATTGAAATATGGTGGCCAGTTTTTCTTTGTGGATGCCCCGGCCGCTGTCCGAAATAGTTCCGTTTATCCTAAAGTCTCCATTTTCATTAAACTGATAATTAAAGCGAACCCGGATTTCCCCGTTATCAGTAAATTTTAAAGCATTTCCCAGTAAGTTTACAAGTACCTGGTTATAGCGATAATAGTCCAGTTTTATAAAACGTGGAAAAGCTTCTTCGAAATACAAGCTGAACTTGAGCCCTTTACTTTCAGCGATAGACTGATAGGGCGCAATGCTCTCGGTAATTTTTTCAGTGAATACTTCAGTGTCAGGATTAATCTGCAATTCGCCTTCCTCAATTTTACTCAGCTCCAGAATATCATTAAGCAGGCTCATAAGGTTGTTGCCTGAAGTTTGGATCATACTCAGGTATTTCTTTTGCTCCGATGTTGCTTCCTGTTGTAACATAAGATCTGTAAATCCTATTATAGCATTAAGCGGTGTCCGGATCTCGTGGCTCATATTGGCAAAAAAGCGACTCTTGTATAAACTGGTGTCTTCTGCCGTTTTGCGCGATTCAATAAGGGATGCCTCATAGGCCTTCCGTTCTGAAATGTTACGGATAAAGATGATAAACTGGATATTTCCTTCTTTTCGGTAATCACGGATATTAATTTCCACCGGAAAAATGTTTTTATCACGGTCCCAAACTTCAATTTCAAAAGTTTTATCCAGCACCCTGTCGCGCATACTACGTGCGTAATGTGGAAGATTATGCAGCATTTGATTTTCGAAAGAGACCGGCAGGATAATATTTTGCAGATTTTGTCCGATAACTTCATCCGAATCATACCTGAATAGTTCTTCTGCAGCATGGTTCCAGAAGTTAATGCGGTTACCTTCATTCACTACAATGATGCAATCCAGTGGATTAGACAGGAGTTTCTCAAAAGCATGAGACTGTTCCTGAAGGTTATGTGAAAGGTTTTTATTTTGATCAGCCTCAGCTCGTAATTGCCGGTTTAATTTTTCCAGCTGACTTATGTTTTCCAGTAAAATTTGTTCCATCTGAGTTTTGCCCAGAATGCGGAGGTAGTCCGGTTTCAGAAATTGAGCGGGTAGCAAGTGGATAATAAAAGGAGATGTTTCAAAATCACGATACAGATAAATGCAATTTTCATAAGCCTTATGATAGAGTCGTTCAAGATTCAGAATACTGAATTGCAAGCTCAGGCTCTTAAAGATGGTTTGACTGAGTTTCTTGATCTGCACTTTATGCGGAAGTCCTTCTTTCCAGTTAAAATCAGGAAGGGCAAGCGGGGTGTCAAATTTTTCTTTCCACACATGGTTACACCAATCCAGTAATATTTGCTGAGAGCTGCCTTTTCGCAAACCAATAATCTGCGACAGTGGGTTGAGGATAAGTTTATAAAAATGAACTGTGAGTAAGAGGCGTGCCTGCCCGGGCTCTAAGAAGGGGAGGCGTGCAAATTCATTGTCTCTCAGGTGTGGGAATTTATTTATGGTTTGCTTGCGGAAGGCTTCACGGGAAGGTTTGAGGATATCATCCAGTGTACAACAATACTGTTCAAAAGAGAGGTATATGCGAACCACGTCTTTATGCTGTCTTTCCGGGCTCTGCCGGGTGAAATCATTGGCCTCCTGAATGAGTGAAGTAGCTTTTGCCGGTGAAGAGACCTCAGATATCAGAAAGCGAATCAGCTCACTATAAGGAGATGGGGGCTGCTTTTTATTTTTTTTAAAAATTGGCCAAAACCGCAACTTCATAATTTATAAACGGCTGGCTTTGTAGGGGTAATAAAACCCAGTCCTGAATAAGGCCCGGGTGGTGAGTAGTGCAGCAAACCAGGCCGTAGTTCCACCTGCATGTGTATATGACGGATGGCCATTATGAGAAAACCCCGGGCCATGAGGCTTATGCCTTTACCAAGCTCACCCCCTCTAAGGGCTGAAACTACTATGAAAGACAGCCCTGCTATTGCAATAAGAAAAGGAATTTCCAACAAGCTGAACCAGGGGTTAAAATCATGGTTTGTACCGGAATGAGTGGTGGTGTGGGCATTTAAACCTACTGTTCCTGCTGCAAAAAGTAAAAGAGTGAGAGTGGAGTAATCTGGTTTCACAAAGCTGTTTTATCAGCAAAAGGTACTACTTTTTGTCAAAGAGATCCAGTTTAATGCCCAGCTCTTTGCCAAAGTTTCGCATATCCTCAGCAGCCTGGGTTTCATTGGTGGCTCTTTCTAAAGTATCAGCCATAGACAGCAGGGTTTGATGCACAAACCGTTTCATTTCATCCGCCAACAAGTCCTTGGTCCACAAGTCAATTTTTAGCGTGTCCCCGTTTTTTTTATCCCATACAGATAATAAAAGAGCCTTAGCCGGAGCGTGTTTCATGCCGCCATCCTCAGCGCTCCATTCAATGGTTTCCGGTACTTTGTTTTCGTCCAGCCCAATGCTGAAGTTTATATTGGAGTGATGTTTAACCATAATCTGTTCGTAATTTCAGTTGCCAGTCGGCAAAAATAAGGGTTTAAGAAGAGGTCTCTTCCAATTTTTAAGGGATATGTTTTTTAGGATTGCCGGAATCGATAAAGGTCTATTCCGGTTTATACTGGCTGAGTTTTAAAAATTTTCGGCTATCCGTTTCAGCCAGCATTTCCTGTAAACTCACATCAGAGTTATTGCGGCAATAATTCCGCACAATTTGCCAGCCCACCCATTGGCCTATACGTCCTGGTGTCTGATTGTCAAACTTCATTCTGAATTTGGAGAAAGGAGCCGGAGCTATAAAGCGCCTGATGTCATTATCCTTTTTGGAGAACAGCAGGTTATTCTCTATAAAGTAAGACCAAACATTACGTTCATTCTCCTGGCAAAAAGCAAGGTGCTCATGGATGTACTGTATAATTACCTCTTCAGACTCTTGTGGCATCATTGCCTCAATAAAATATAAGATCTTACCGTGGTAGATCATGGCATCCAGTAATGAATAGGCATCTTGGTCATTGAGAGGGGGTACGTTATGAAGAGCAAGGGCTTCTATACAATCCCGTATCAAAAAAACGGGGTTATGCTCAAAAGCCAGGTAAGCAGGCAGGTGTGAATAGTAGGATTCATTTTGTCCTAAATACATATCCAGGGCGGCAAAGCACACTTCGTTTTCGGGAGCATACAATAGGGGGTAGTCAAAATCCAGGTTGGATATATAAGTGTAAAATTCAATAGAAGGCCGTTGCTTGTAATAATAGTAAAAATGTTTCATGGCCTCATTCAGTTTATGGTTTGCACTCTCCATATCTCCCCACACATCCTGAGCCTTTTGATATAGATCAAGCTGACGCTGATCTGAGCGTTGAAAACGCCAGAATCTGTCGGTAGCCCCGGATTGGAAAAACAGTGGATATTTTTCCTTAAGGCTGTCAAGCTCTGACTCAAACCGCGTAGTGTCTGTAGAGAAAAAAGCCTGGTCAAAGCGTTGAAAACGGGTTTGAACCTCAATGTTGCTTATATCCACTTCAAGGTGATCCTGTTCACAAGCTATTAACAGAAACAGTGAACTTATAGTCCAAAAAATTCTTTTTATCATAAACCGTGTTACTTGTTAATCAAGTACTTTAATTTTACGCCCAAAATTTTAAGTTTTGAAGAAAATCAAGCTATTCCTTTTTTTATGCCTTTTAGCAGGCTCAAAGATAAACGCTCAGAATTTGAGGCTTGGTGTGCACGCCACTCCCTCTATAAATTATATCTCAACCAGTGAGCCAGACGTGGAAACCAACCTGGCGGTAAAATTTGGCTTTGGCCTTATGGCAGATTATTATTTTGCTGAGCATTATGCCCTTTCCACCGGGGTTGATATTTTAAGCAGCGGAGGCACTATGGAGTTTAATGACACCAGCCGTAGCTATCATGCCGGATATGTGCAAATTCCGATTGCCCTCAAAATGAGTACGCGTGAGTTTGGCTACTTCACCTATTTTGCCAGATTTGGTGGCGGATTATTGATTAAAACCAATGAAACTATTGATTTTGAGCCGGATATTCCGGCCGGGCAAGAGCTTGACTCGTATATAAACCCACTGGGGCTTACGTTTAAATTTGGTGGCGGAGCCGAATATAGCTTTGGTGGTTCCACCTCTTTGGTTGCTGAAATAGCTTATCACCGTAACCTGGTTGACAACCTGAATGATGATGATCCTGCCTTACGCTCCAGCCGGTCTTACCGTTTTGATTATGTGGCTATATCCTTAGGGATCTTATTTTAAACTTTACCGTTATCGTATGAAAACCAGTCAGGTTATAGATCATATTGTAAACTGGTTAAAGAATTATCTCCAAGACTCTGGTCAAAAGGGTTTCGTAATAGGCGTAAGCGGAGGTATAGACTCAGCCGTAACCTCAAAGCTATTGG